GAACTAGAACTGAACTAGAACTGAACTAGAACTGAAACTAGAACTGAACTAGAACTGAACTAGAACTGAACTAGAACTGAACTAGAACTGAACTAGAACTGAACTAGAACTGAACTAGAACTGAACTAGAACTGAACTAGAACTGAACTAGAACTGAACTAGAACTGAACTAGAACTGAACTAGAACTGAACTAGAACTGAACTAGAACTGAACTAGAACTGAACTAGAACTGAACTAGAACTGAACTAGAACTGAACTAGAACTGAACTAGAACTGAACTAGAACTGAACTAGAACTGAACTAGAACTGAACTAGAACTGAACTAGAACTGAACTAGAACTGAACTAGAACTGAACTAGAACTGAACTAGAACTGAACTAGAACTGAACTAGAACTGAACTAGAACTGAACTAGAACTGAAGAACTGAACTAGAACTGAACTAGAACTGAACTAGAACTGAACTAGAACTGAACTAGAACTGAACTAGAACTGAACTAGAACTGAACTAGAACTGAACTAGAACTGAACTAGAACTGAACTAGAACTGAACTAGAACTGAACTAGAACTGAACTAGAACTGAACTAGAACTGAACTAGAACTGAACTAGAACTGAACTAGAACTGAACTAGAACTGAACTAGAACTGAACTAGAACTGAACTAGAAGAACTAGAACTGAACTAGAACTGAACTAGAACTGAACTAGAACTGAACTAGAACTGAACTAGAACTGAACTAGAACTGAACTAGAACTGACCTAGAACTGAACTAGACACTGAACTAAGAACTGAACAGAACTGAACTAGAACTGAACTAGAACTGAACTAGAACTGAACAGAACTGAACTAGAACTGAACTAGAACTGAACTAGAACTGAACTAGAACTGAACTAGAACTGAACTAGACTCTGAACTAGAACTGAACTAGAACTGAACTAGAACTGAACTAGAACTGAACCTAGAACTGAAACTAAACTGAACTAGAACTGAACTAGAACTGAAACTAGAACTGAACTAGAACTGAACTAGAACTGAACTAGAACTGAACTAGAACTGAACTAGAACTGAACTAGAATTGAACTAGAACTGAACTAAGAACTGAACTAGACTGAACTAGAACTGAACTAGAACTGAACTAGAACTGAATAGAACTGAACTAGAACTGAACTAGAACTGAACTAGAACTGAACTAGAACTGAACTAGAACTGAACTAGAACTGAACTAGAACTGAACTAGAACTGAACTAGAACTGAACTAGAACTGAACTAGAACTGAACTAGAACTGAACTAGAACTGACTAGAATGAACTAGACTAATACTAGAACTGAACTAAAAATGCACTAAACTGAACTAGAACTGAACTAGAACTGAACTAGAACTGAACTAGAACTGAACTAGAACTGAACTAGAACTGAACTAGAACTGAACTAGAACTGAACTAGAACTGAACTAGAACTGAACTAGAACTGAACTAGAACTGAACTAGAACTGAACTAGAACTGAACTAGAACTGAACTAGAACTGAACTAGAACTGAACTAGCACTGAACTAGAACTGAACTAGACTGAACTAGAACTGAACTAGAACTGAACTAGAACTGAACTAGAACTGAACTAGAACTGAACTAGAACTGAACTAGAACTGAACTAGAACTGAACTAGAACTGAACTAGAACTGAACTAAAAATGCACTAAAATGCACTAAAACTGAACTAGAACTGAACTAGAACTGAACTAGAACTGAACTAGAACTGAACTAGAACTGAACTAGAACTAGAACTGAACTAGAACTGAACTAGAACTGAACTAGAACTGAACTAGAACTACTAGAACTAGAACTGAACTAGAACTGAACTAGAACTGAACTAGAACTGAACTAGAACTGAACTAGAAATGATCTAGAATGAACTAGAACTAGAACTGAACCAGAACTGATCTAGTTACGATAATTTTAAAATTATTATAACCTATACAAACATTTTTTATTTGTTGCATAAATTAAATTAATATGAAATTAGACATAACTTATAAAAGCTAAGCAATTATTAACATAAATCGTATAAGACCCTCATAAGCTAATCATTTTAATGCTGGCAAAATGAGTAGGATTATGTAAATTATTAACAGTTTCCTATACAAAAATATACAATTTTTAACCTTTTATCGCATTAGTGTCTTAAATTTAAAACACAGCTCTCTTTAAAGTAGTGCAGAAAAAATTGTCAGGGTTCAGTGATAACAAGTCATATTTATTTTCCCTCCTTTTTTTGTAAGGTTAGCAAAATTAAAAAACAAACACTTTTTTATTTTTGTTATTTTCATTTCCCTAAATAAAAATACATATAAACAAGCACCATAAATATATTCTTCTATACCGAGTTGAAACTATATTTCATAAGCTGGAATCAATACAGTGTTCTATTAATATTGTATTGTATTTTTTTTTTTCATACATATACGTTCGATATGTTTCATATAGATTTATGTATATGTATGTAAGTGTAAGTGTATGTTTACAATATTGTCCCCATTGCTTAAAGTCTTTATGTTTATTTTTCTTAAAATCCGTTTTGTGTTTTGTGTTAAAGTAAAAAAGCTACTTATCGGACTCTCTTTATTTCTGTTTACGCTAGAACAAAAGAACTGCACGGAAGGGAAGTAAACAAAGCAACAAAAAGAAATATATTTATATACATATATACATATGTATGTATATGTATGTTCATTAGAGGGGATCAAATAATATCGATTTTGTTATTTTCTTAACATTTCCAAATCTTATCTTCTATAGAAAATTATCTTTTTAACAAGATAATCAAACGATTTTTGAAGAAATCAAAAAAAGTCGAATTATTTACCCAATTTTACACTTTTCAATAGATTTGTGGCACCGTTTCCTTTTGTCCGATTGAACTAAAATTTAACACCATTTAGTCTTAGGTTTTGGTCCATTCTAATGTACATACATAGAAACAAATATTCATGCAAACAATGACAGCCAGCCATAATAATACTTATAGAAACCTTTCTGGTATATAGAACAAAACAACAGAAAACGTAAGAAAAAATCAAGTAAACAAATATGTATGTATGTATAAACTAAACACTTTGTTGACTTTTGGTTTTTAAGTTTTTGTCATTGTTTTTATTTTTGCAATTTTTTTTCTTACATTACACACACAGATACATTTGTATATGTTTTCGTATTGCCAACATTTGGTGGGGCAATACAAAACAATGTTATTGAACGTGCCAAATGTATGTATTTTTCACATAGTTATACATATATACATACATATATCCCATATACACATACAGTTAACAGAATGGAGCAAAGATGGTACTATTGTGTTTCTGAGGTACTATAGACCTAGTAGTCAATTGTTTTGCTGAAAGAAATTTCATGTTGCCAAAAAATAAAAATCGTAATAACTTTCTATATTCTATACACAACAGGGCGATAACATCATGAGAATTTTGGAATACTATATCCAATTTTGGAATATTTTTACATCTGACTATCAAACGAAAAAAAATCGAATAAGAACTAAACTAAGATTTAAAAATTTTATTTAACATTTTGTATAAAAATATTTTTAGATTTTATTTTAATGATAATAATCCAAGCATTCTAAAAAAGATCATATAAATAGCAACTCTGATACATCCCTAAACATCTTTAAAGACAAAAAATTCAATATTATTCCATTAAGTACTAATCATCACTTCTCATTCTCATGTGGCATATTTACAGTATTGAACATAGAGTATAAAGACAACATAACAAGAAATCGAGTTTTAAAAGAGTTTTGCTATGTTGTTGCTGCTGTTTTTTTGTTCACTTTTTTGCCACACCAGAATCATCAGAATCACCAACAACATCAGAGCATTGTCATCAACATTGATTAAAATAGAACAAAGAACGTGTTGATGGTATCTAATAGAAAACATGAGGGAGCGAAAGAGAAAGCAAGAAAATATTTGAAAAACAAAATAATAAAAAGAGTGCATAAGAATTGAATGAAACAACAACGACTTGAATAAAAATCAAAGTGGTCAAAAATAACAACATTTGGTACAACAATACACATTTTTAAAAACTCAAGGGTAAAAACAATACAGATTTTGATGATGTTCATGATGATGACAATGGCAGTCATTATGATGATGATCATGACGACTATGAGGAGTAGGAGAAGAATAGCAACAACAACAAAAAACAAAATACTATTCTATGAAATTATTTGTGTACCATATATTTTTTGTACCAAATAAACACGTACACTCAAGCAAACACATACATATTTGATGCAGCATGTTGTTTTACAATTGCTTCAATGTATGTTTGTATGTGAGAATATTTCCTGGTATGTGTACAAATGCAGTTGTAGTTGCATATACAATGACAAAACAATTCAATTGAAAACAATAGTTATCAACTTTTATCAAATTGAAATAAATGAGCCTTTGATTAGATGTGACACCATACCCATGTACTAAACTCTAACATACATATATAGTTTGTTTTTACCAAATATGCCCCAATGTATGTATTTGTTTTTGTGATTTTAGCAGTACACTTACATGACTCTGGGGAGGAAGCTAAAGAATCTAAAAAGGAATTAAGGAATTTTTAAGTGAATTTAAATAGAAGAAATTTTCAATTTTCCGTATACTGGGGTAAAAAATGTCTCGAACTTTTTACATTTTTTGACACAATGACATTTATAATTTCCATTTTTGTTTTCCTCTTTAATATTTACACACATATACATAAGTGCATATGTATGTATATTAACTCATACATTCGAATACAATCAGTTAAATAGTATAGAAAATAAAATTTCCTGCTGTACAACCATAATTCTTTTGCTTAATACATAGTCTATGGTTATAAACTCTTTTTATTCTTTGTACGAGTATTTTACTCTTTTTCTGTGCCCATAAAGATTTTTTTGTGAATTCATATGTATTTTTTGTATTTTCATTTATATTTCAAGGTCTTTTGCGGTTGCAACAAATCTATCAAGGCTTAAAGCCCGGAAATGAATCATTTCAAGTTGAGATGGTAAAGCGCATTGCCAATGTTACCATGGCCATTGATTTCCTGCATACACTGGAGGATTTGGGTCGTTTTACAAATAAATACATTGTACTTGATTGCCCAACGGAAATGGCCAAAGAGATTCTAATCCAACATGTAAGGGACATTTCATTGGGACGTCGTACATACCACTATTTGCTTAGTGGTTTGGTAAGTACAATTTACAATAAACTTTTACATATACATACAAATGTATACACAAACATACAAACTTATAGCCACACAAAACCCACATGTGTAGAAAAATTACAACTACAAATACAAATAAATGTTAGCATTACTGGCAAAATGGTTATAAGCAAATACGTTCTTTCTTTTTCATGTCTATTTAGTTTGTTTTTTTTAGCTTTTTGTAAAATTTGTTCTTTTGTATCACACAAATACCGACAACCAACTGGCCCATGTTAAATGAACATGAAATATATATATTATAAACAGCAATCATGACTTCATGATGTACACTACATATTTCCATTTTATACAAAAACTATGTTTTTCCTAAGCTGGTTTTATACTATCAGAATATTATGTCTTGACAGATGTGAACTCTTCCATCTAAACAAATCAAAACTTCTTCAAAACACTTTTCTATGCCGGACATGTCACACACATTTATTGTAGCAAAATAAACAAAACAAGCAAAAAACTATATATATGTATGTATTTGTACAAACTTAGAATGTCCTTGATAAGTATGTAGCTTTCATACATTTCTCTATAGCACAATACCAACATAAATATCTATGAAAATATGTATGTCTGCATACACATCCACACTCCTGTAAACATTTTTAATGAAGTCTCTTGTTGACATGTGTATTTTTTACCTTTTTAGTTTTTGTGTATTTTGATTTGTAAACATATAGAAACGTATGAATAGACAGAAGGTTCATTTATTAGTTTTTGCAAAACTGTTATTAATAAACAATTAACCAGTAAAATTTTGAGTTTGCTTGTTTGATATTTCCGCTTTCCGGTTTTCTGCTAATACTAAATACGTGAGTGTTTTTCCTTTTCATTTGCACAGGTAATGGATGATCGTTGGGAAAGTGAGATTATAGAATTTGGTGCAATTAACATAACAGGATTTCGTTTGGTGGATACAAATCGCCGCTTAGTCAAAGATTTCTATGACAGCTGGAAGCGATTAGATCCAGCAACGTCTATAGGCGCGGGTCGAGAATCTATATCGGTAAGTATTATTTATTGGAATGAAGGGAATACTAGTAGAAAGTATAAGTAAATGTGCAATATATTTATTTTAAAAGAAGTTAATGTTTGTCCAAAAATCTTTAAACTGAACCATAAATCAGAATTTTTTTAATGTTTTGAAGATTTTTAGGGATTATATTTTATAAGGGAATTGAGGACGTTCAAGCATTTTTAGAGGGGGACTTTGCAAGGGGGCTAGGGTTAAATAAGGGCCGCTCATTACGAACTTTTGCAGTATCATTTATGCAGGTATAAAACGTAGTTGTGCCTATTTTTATAGGGATATTAGTATATTTGACGCAATAATGAGCTCAATTCCCAATTTAGGGGGTCCGGTTTAGAAATAATGAACCGATATCAACCAAAATCAAAAGCGACTTGAAAATTGCGACCTGTAGTTTGATTGCAAAGACGGACGGAAGGACGGATATGGCTTAATCGACTCAGAAAATGATTCTGAGCCGATTGGTATACTTAATGATGGGAATAGGACCATTAATTCTATGCATTACAAACGTCAACACAAATCCAATAAAGTGGTGTAGGGTATAAATATTAAATATCACAATATCACTACATTGTTTATCATTTTTTATAACCCTCTTATTCTACCACAAACCACTTAACAAATTTATATTTCCTCATAAATAGCAATATAAATAAGTCCCTTAGATTTTAAATACAAAAAATTACTTCCCAACCAAATGACTTAAAGATTCTTATACCCCAGCCTCTGGCCACAAAAAGTGAAAAAAAAATAAAATCACATATTCGAGTACAATTTCAATCAACGTACTACACATGTTGTCATTATTTTTTGTTGTTATTGTTTAATATGTGAAAACACGGCTATATTAATAACAACAACAACAACAACGAAAACAAAAATCAAGATACAAATACAGACAATGAAATTGTAGACATGTGTACTCGTATGGTATTGTGTATCAGGAATATAAAAGAGAATTAAATAGAATAGAATTTCATTTGTTAGTCCGTCTGTCTGTCTGTCTGTCTGTCTGTCTGTCTGTCTGTCTGTATGGAATGGAATATTTTTATTATCTTGTTTATAATGAAAACAAAATGTCATGTTTTATGCTGATGAACTTAGAAGGGCTTTTTTGCAAATAAATAACTTATTAAATATTAACATTGATATCAAAAGTATTTGTATGAGTCGGAGTTTTAAGGGTATGTGTCAGTAACCGTTTCCGGCACTTGAATAGTGTTTTCGGTCGACATACTCTTCAACAAGATGGTTAAATAAACAATATAACCATTTTTGGGGTAAACATTAACTGTGAATTAAACAAACATCTAAATACCTATTCAATGAATTTTCTTTTCTTTCTTGATGTTCTTCAACTTCCATTTCCTGTTTGTTTGCTTGTTTTACGTATGTAAACTAATTTTAGGCCCAGGCAGCCCTCATGTATGATGCTGTGTTTGTTTTAGTTGAAGCCTTTAACAAAATTCTACGTAAGAAACCTGATCAATTTCGCAACAACATTAGAAGAGGCCAGACACTGATTGCGGCAGCTTCTACATTGGCCAATGCTACTGGTTTACCTAATGGTGGTGGTATGGGTGGGGGTCTTATGGGTGGCTCATCTAACTCTAATGGTGGCAATGGCATGGGTGGTGGCGGTGGTAATGGCGGTAATAGTGGCAGCAACAGTGTGCCACGTGCACTAGACTGTAACACTTCGAAGGGTTGGGTAAACCCTTGGGAACATGGTGATAAAATTTCGCGCTATTTGAGAAAGGTAAGCAAGCATCCAGCAAACAAGCTAACAACTAAGTAAGTATAACTACATACTTCAACAACTTAAAAAAAATAAGAACAACATCAATGTCGGCATCAAATTACGGTTTAACTAAGACATGCTAAAGTAAGCATTACAGCAATGTGTGGAAGTGGTGAAGTGTAATGAATGGAAAATTTTATGCTACAATTGTTACACGACTGAAAAAACACTAGTATGTAGGTGTGTGTGTGTCTGCTGTGCTGTAAGTCCTTAAATACCTAAAGTAATATTTTAATTGTTGTATAATTTTATTTTGTTGTTTTTAAGTTTTTGTCGGCTGTACACAACAGCTTCCTTTTAATCATTATATTGAGCTTTTCAGTTTTATTCTTAATTGACTGGAAGGCTCAATAAAAATTAATTGATGTGTCATTTACTTTACACCACTGAACACTTGAAACATGTTGCCTTCCGTTTTTATGTTTTTCTCATTCTATGACGTCTGCTTGTTCTTCAGTTTTTTTGGGAAAGTGTTTCATTTCTTTTATCAATTTTCAAATGCATTTAACAATGCTATTGATGAAGAAAAGTATTTTAAGGCAAGCAGGAATGAATATGATAATTTCGACGACGATGATGATGATGTTATTGTTGAAAGTTCAAGCGAATCCACTTGACTTGAATCAATTTTCTTCATTATAGGTTGAAATTGAAGGACTTACGGGTGACATTAAATTCAACGATGATGGTCGACGTGTGAATTACACTTTGCATGTTGTTGAAATGACAGTAAACAGTGCCATGGTTAAGGTGGCCGAATGGAGTGATGACCTCGGTCTGCAACCTTTATCAGCTAAATATGTAAGACTGAAACCGCATGCCGAAATTGAAAAAAATCGCACATACATAGTAACCACTGTCCTAGAGGAGCCCTATATTATGTTGAAACGACCTAATGTGGGTGAGACACTGGAGGGCAATGACCGTTTTGAAGGCTATTGCAAAGATTTGGCTGATTTGTTGGCCAAAAAATTGGGCATTAATTGTAAGTATAGAAATAGCAACAACAAAAAGAAATAAAAGGAACAATTGTTTGACCCCCGGGTGTGAATGAATGATCAAACACAATTTGAGACACGTGTGTACGTGCTTAAACATTTGCTTGACAAACGTCCTTTTATTTTTCCACATTAATTTCATTATTTTTTTAACGAATGAATTAAGGGTCATTAAATTGTTCCTTTTTTTCTTCTTTATTTAAGAAATGTTTTTGTTGCTTATGTGGTGGGTTGGGCTGGGTTGAGCTGGTTGGCTGACCATTCGTTTGTTTTATTTATTTTGTTGGTCTGGCCACAGTTCATTTATTTATACGTTTTTTACCAAGCTCTTTTTTTCTGGTATCTTTTTTCTTCGGTATAAATATTTCAACGTTAAATAAATTTTTTCTCGTTTTTTTTGTTTATTTTTCAGATGAAATGCGTTTGGTTAAAGACAATACTTATGGCTCTGAAAATCCAAAAGTTCATGGCGGTTGGGATGGCATGGTTGGTGAACTTGTGCGTCGAGTATGTATAAATTTACACTTAAATTCTTTATTACTTCCATTTCACTTTGATACTGTTTACTTGATTACAATTCAACGATAACGTGTTATTATTTCACTTTTATTTCATTTTCTTGTTTTAATTCTTTGCCCTGTTTTTCGCATTCGTTTATTTTTTTTTTTTTTTTTTTTAAACAGGAAGCGGATATTGCTATAGCTGCCATGACAATTACTGCTGAACGTGAACGTGTCATCGATTTTAGTAAACCATTTATGTCACTGGGTATTTCGATAATGATTAAAAAGCCAGTCAAGCAAACACCAGGCGTTTTCAGTTTCATGAATCCTTTATCGCAAGAAATTTGGGTAAGTTTACATTTTCAGCTGTTCTTCTCTCTCTTTCTCTCTTAAGCCTTCTTAGCATAATTCAAGTGTGAATGTAGTTGTTTGTTGGCTACTGATAATATTAAGCACTCGACAAATTTGTTGCTTCTGTCTGAAATTTAAGGTGGCTGTTTAAAAAGTATAAACTGTCCTTCAGCTGCCATCATTTATCTTATTCACTTCATTTTTTTGTTAATTTTAATTTTATTTTACATTATTATTTGTATGAGTAAAAGAGTTTTACTTATATATGTATGTATGTACATACCAAGAGTCCCTTTCAGTTCCCGTTTGTGTTTAAGTATTTATTTTATTTTTATATATTTAAGTATATCGTTGTTGTTTCTTCTATTTTTCCTTTTTTTTACTTGATAAAGTCAATGTTGCAGAAATTGCACTGCATACAAATGAGAAAACTTTAAAATTTACTTCTACAAAGTTCTTTTTTTTATTTATTTTTTCTTTTACTAGAAAATTTTGTTTAATTTTGTTTTCTTTTTGTTCGTTTTCAGTATATTTCATTCAGTTTATTGTATTTTACTAAAAATTGGCTCAAAGAAAGCTTATAAACTTTAATAGAGTAAACAGCAAAGTTTCAGCTCATTTTTCAAACTAAAAAACCAGCATCGAATTTTTTGTGTATGTATGCGTTTTCACGAGTGTGAGTACAATGTTTAAGGAACAAGTCAAATTTCGTTGAAATTTTATGCCACGTTTTCAAGCGTTTATAAAATGTTGTTGTCTTTTCGAACATTTACCGATACAAAGCATTTCTATCCCTGTAGTTCGCGATAACTGTCTCGTCTAGCTTTAGAATTATGGCTGAGTTAGGAACATGGAAGTGGTGATCGGCCTTCCCTTAGATGCTAAAGAAACAAATGATTTCCTCTCTAGATAACCAAAATGATAATGAGCTCCAAATAATCAAAAAAAAATATATAAACTGAAGTCAAGCAAATAGTGAAACAATTGAAAAAAATGTTTTTTAATTATATGCACTTGTAAAAACTGCTGGAATACGCATACTTATGTTCATTCATGCATATGTATATACATACCCATACATCTATCAGCACTTGTATCATTTTTTGCATGCTTTTGGCCATATACACACACACTCATACATCAAAAAACAAAACATAGAAAAAACAGACGGGAAAAAGTTAAAGAAAAATTTATAAAATTCTTTGGTAGGAAACAAAAAAATTCCAAACTTTAATCCTTCAGCAAACGTTTTATTAAAGTGGGAAAAGTTACTACATACATGATTTTTCCCTTATTTTTATCTTTACTTTTTATACCCTACACCAATTTAGTGGGGAGGTTATATTGGGTTTGTAATGATATTTGTAACGCACTACAATATTGATTCTATACATTAAAGTATAGCTTAGAATCACTTTCTGAGTCGATTTAGCTTTGTCCGTCCGTCCGTCCGTCTGTCTGACCATCCGTCCGTCCAAGTAAACCTTGTAATCGCAATTTTGATGATAAGTAAATGAAATTTGGTCTATTGAAAATGTTTAACATCGGTCCATTATTTCAGCTAGCCCCCATACAACTGAACCCCCCGAATAGTGCTCATAAGCTCATAATTATGTTTAATATACTCGTATCTCGACAAAAAGCTGCAAAACCAAGTTCTATGCTAGCCTTAATGACGTTGATAAATTTTATAATGATAGGGCCTCATTTGACCCTAGCCCCTATACAAAGCCCCTTCAAAATATGACTTAAATATCCACAGTTTTATTCAACAATAAATGGCTTAATTATGTATAACTGAGACAAGGTACAATTCAATTTAAATGCTTTATTATGAAAATTAAATCGCAATTTATTATTATAACTGGAGTAGGGTATTATATAGGCGGCCTTGCCCAATTATAATTTCCTACTTGTTTGAGTTTAAAACCTTTTCAGAAATAAAGCAACACTGTATTTTTATTATTTTCAAATTCTGTTTGTTACTGAATAAATTATTCATTTCGATGCATTATTTATTTATAACACTGTGGTACAGAATGAATTTTGGAATAAAAGAAAAAGTCTGAGTTTTTTTCCTAATAAAGTGTTACAACCCAAAAACAAATAATTGTAACGCCAATTGTTTATGCTCTTTCGCTTTTTGCTAGGTTTAGATTTTTAATTCGATTAACTTTTTTATGTTAATCTTTTAATAAAATGTTTATTTCCTTTAAGTCATATTTTCCATCAACCTTCCATGGTTTTAAATTGTATCAAGGTAGTATCGGAAGATTTAACTTAATCAGATATATCCAGCAAACACTTTTCTTATGGTTTCAGTATTTTTAAATCTCCTTCTCAAATTCTACAATCTGTGACATTGATATTTGTCTGACAAGAAACCACTAACTTATCACAAAACTTGATGAGTTGTTTTGTAAACGCATCTCTAACAACATACACAAAAATTATTGTTTCCGTTCCTTTTCTTTTGCTTTTTGTATTTCGATTCAATTCATTCTAATGTATGTTTTAATTTAAACAAGAGAGAGACGTATAATAAACAGTTTCATAAAATAAATACAATTAAAAGTGAAATGCTTTAAGGTTTTTATTTAGCATATATTAAATTTTAATTTCCACAGCACATTCAGACAAATTAATAATCATAAGCAAAAAGTAAAAAACCGCAAACCGGCAATAGAAAACAGACGAGAAAGAAGACGAAACAAATGAAAACAACTCGTAAAACAAAACAAATATTATCTTAAATTGAGGAAACGGATATGAAAATATATACATATATGTATGTATGTACACGTCTACATACCTAGAAAGTACTCTATATAAAAATAATAATAATAATAATAAAACACGCATTATACAAAACACGCGCGCACTCCCACAAACAACAATAACACACAAAACACATACACGAATACTTAAAGAAAAACAACAACAGTTAATCTCATACAGAGAGTATGAACGAGATACTTTATTTTACACACTTTCAATGTATGCTCACATGCTCCCTTCCCCTTACCTTACCTCACCTCCCCACCCTACCCTAATCATATTTGTTCTCTGTAACAAGTAAACACACCGTGATTTGCGTTTTAAGCTAATTACAAATACAAATACAGAAATCTGCCTTAAAACTACCACTACATGTCTAAATACATTCTAACAAACGTATAAACTCTTATTCATAAATACTAACACAAACTACATACTACTCGAGTGTTAGATGGCAGAATAATTGCTGTGGTTATGTTACACTGTATGTTTGTACAATTTAGAATTATTGCTACTTGAACATTAAAGGCAATATATCACAAGGGCACAACATCAATGACAGATATTAATAAAGAGAAAAGTGAAAATTTCATGGAGGTACTAAAGTGAATTTTAGTTTACCCTTCATTTTAACTTTTATGGTTTTATGGATTAGATAATCAATAGCTTAGCTTTTTAACCTAAATGGGCCTCTGCTACTCAGTTCTGTTGATCTGTCTTAACGAATTTGTTGTTAGTCTTTATCGTAAGGCATTTGTATTGATATTTCTGTTTTAAAGATCATACTTATTAACAGAAATTCAGAAAACAGAAAATGCTATTTATAGTGAAAAAATAAATTTGAAGTGAAAAATTTATTTTTTAGTAAAAAATTTAATTTTTCCTGAAAAATTTAATTTTTTAGTGAAAAATTTAGCATTTATCAAAAAATTTATTTTATAGTGAAAAATTAAATTTTATTAAAAAAATTGATTTTTAGTGAAAATCTGTTTTTTTAGAGAAAATCAGATTTTTTGGTAAAAATATCCAATTTTTAGGAATAATTCACATTTCTAGAGAAAAATTTTATATGATACCCTACAACAGCTATGAGTATATCTTAAAAATTATTTATTTTTTTATAAAAAATCATTTAAAACCGTCAAAATATCAAAATATTGGTCATAGACCCACAAAGTATACATATTCTGGGTCCTTATTAAAGTAAAGGTTGATCCAGCCAAATCTATCTATCTGTCCGTCCTTCTGTCTGTTGAAAGCAAGATAGGGTCCGAACGGAAAGAGATAGAGGTTTGAAATTTTCCAAATATTCTCCACAGGTAATTATTGTTTTGTTTACGTTTTGGCATAACCTCCATACAAATGGCCGCCTGGAAAACAGTTTAACTGTCATAACTCTTTTAAAACAAGTTTTCACTCGACATAAACAAGTTTTTCACGTACTAAAATATATCTACCAAATTTTATGAGGATCAGTCTATAATTGACCCATAATTGACCCTACCTCCCATATAAGGTCCCCTTTAGAAAATTACTTTAACGCATATTACCGACTTAAAGCTATGTGTACAGTATTGAAAAATCACTTTACCAAATTTTATGAAGATCTGTCCATAATTGACTCTATTGTGAATAAGTTTCTAGAACAACACAATCCAACAAATTATTTATTAATCATACGTATATGCATTTCTGTTCTTCCCGACTATTTATAGGAAGATAAGTACATATTTACAACTAAAGAAGATCAATCAAATGCATATTTGACTAAAAAAATGTTTAAATCATATCATTTATAGTCATAAATGTAACTGTCATTTATTTTTTGAATTTAAAAATTAGCTACTTATTACTTTAGTTTAATTTGATTACAACCCTCGTAACCCTCAACATAAGAATAATGCTTGTCAGTTAAAAAAGTCTACCTTTATCATTCGTATCCATACATATGCATATACTAAGACATTTTATACATATATACCTAGAAATATACATATGAATAAACACAATTACGTCTAAACTTATATATACATACTATATATTCATACAACAATATTCGGTTTTTAGGCTTGCACACGTTTTTGGTTTCTCGTTTTGTATTATGGATTTTTTCTGTTTCTTCTTGTTGTTATTTTTGTTGGTTTGTTCTTTTAACAGACAGCTAGGGGAGATGACGTTAACAGCTAATAACAAAACATTTAACAGTAGATAAAGTAACAACAAGTAATTTGACATAAATTAAATGAACAATTTTGTTTCATGTTACACTTACTTTTTTTCAAATTTCCCTACAATTTGGTGGCCTTGTATGTATTTTATATACATATATGAACAAACAGACATACATGTGTTTACATACACCCATATACATATATGTATATGTTTATGTAGCAGTCTCAACTTATACATTTACATGAGTTATATACTAAGAGAGAAATTTGTTTGATGTTGTATGAATGTATGTATTAGAAAAATTTGCAAAACAAATTTTAGCATTTATGGAAACTGCGTACTACTACTTAACAACACGAGTTGGTATTTGCTTCTTTGTTTGAGAAATTGTGTCTTTGTAGATTAACTAACACACATACATATAAACACATAGAGATTTTTTTTTGGGGGGTAAGAGCATAAGTAAATTTTAATAATGCTGTTATTGTAGTAGCTATGCATTGTTACAGGTTGTTATTTATACAAATTGTTGGTATATTTTTGATGATTTTATTCAGGTAAAAATATTTCCAGCCATTTTCATTCTAGAAGTCTATAGTTAAAGTCAAAAATGAGCTTAATGAACAGACAAAGACTATTTTTTGTTTGTTAAAAAATAAGACACAATAATGAAGAGTAATAACATCATCTTGCCAATTGGGACAAATTATTATTTGCCACTGATGACTGGCTACTGATTTTCTTTCATTATTATTTAAGTATGATTGTGTGTAATTTGTTTGTGTGTGTATTTTTCTGTGTATTACTGGTAATTTATTTAACCACATGTCCATATGAAATGTAAAATTAATATCTTCTTTGTTTATTTATGTTTTCATTTCATTTCATTGTATTGCTTGTAATTCTAGGTCAGCGTGATATTCAGCTATATTGGTGTCAGTATTGTTTTATTCTTCGTCTCCAGATTTTCCCCTTATGAATGGCGTATTGTCCAGTATCAAACAGGTAAGTGGAGCGAGTAATTTATTGTTTGCGAAGATATGTAAATGTACTTAATTTATAGTACTTATAGAGAATAAAAAATTGCAGAAATTGAAGTTTATTTTACAAATGTACTTTTTAATGTTTTTTTATGAAGTCATTATTAATATAATGGAAAATGATTGGCTTAAACAGATTATCAAGTCCTTTGGCCACATAGTGTTAATTAGGTTGAGAAATGTTCCCGTTATTAATTGTACTGCAATCTGCCGCAATTGTTATCTTTCGGCAGTATAGGATGCTAAAGTATAATCCCCATTATTAAATGACCTAAAGGCTATGTTTGACTCTCCTTGAAATCTACAGACTCTATATTCTGAAAGCAGAAATATGAGTCAAAATTTAAAAGTAAATATTCAGAATGATCAAACTAGATCGCGCTGCTACGTACCATTTCTAAAGCACTTTATATTATAAAATAACCTATACGTATGAGTGATAAAACAAATTATTAATAAATCATACGCCCAGTTATTTGCAATATATCTCTAAGGCCCATTAAGAATTCTAATAATTGTTAGCATCATTTCATAAAGAAGTAAGAATATATAGTCAAGTATAGCCGACCATATGATACCCTACTCCAGCTATGAGTTGGTTAAAAAAAGTATTTCACAAGGTTAACATTTACACCCTACCCTACAGGCAGACAGACAAACGAACAGACAGACATAGCTAAACCGACTGAGGAATTGATTCTTTGCCGATGAGCCGATAAGATGGGTATATAACTATTAGTTTTGGGTGTTATAAACCACATCACAAATGCATAGTTATGTAGGGTATAGAAAGTTTTTAAAATTATCATGTTTACTTATTATGGTTTCATAAAACTTTTTTTCAAAAATAATAACAACCTAAAGAAAATATTTACTAAAATCTGCTTTAAACACTAAGCAAAACATATTTTTTACAACTCATACTCCAATTGTCTCTCAGCCTTATAAATCTAAAAAAATACTCTTAACATTAAAGAAAATCCAAATGATCCATGTAGAATCTTAATAAATAAGTTTTTTTTTTTGTACAAAGAAAAAACATGTAAAATTTCCTGAATACTAAACTATTTATGAATAATTTTTTCACGTATCTGGCAAACACAACGTGTAACATACTAAATTGTATAGAGTCTAGTAACTTTAAGTTTAGACATTTAGCTAGAAGCCAAAAATTTTTCTACTTAAATAACAAGAAAAATGCAAAAATAAATACAAAAAAAGAAAAATAAAAATAATATACTATATAATATAGCAAATCAGTAGAAAAGAAAAATATCAAAAATTCAAATCAGTCATGTTTAAAAGAACACACATGCACTATTAAATATAAAGAAAGACAGGAAGGAGGGTTAGTAAAATACTATGTATAACAAAAATATGTTGTTTTTGTTTTTGGCAAAATAGCAGATACATTTGTATACATAAAACACATGTATGTAATGATGATAGTAGGGATATATGCCTTAATTTAATTTCTGCGTAAAGATAAAAAACACATCAGCAAGAAGAACATGTATTTTTCTTTGAATTTTTATTCATTTTCTTATTTTTTTATATAAAAAAAAAAAAAATATTTCGTTGTATGCCCAACAACGTGATAACCTCGAAAATAACACACAAAAAAGTAACATACATTCAATGAATCCCCTCTTATAGTATCTCTGCATATGGTAGAAGTATAGTATATATCTATATGTAGGGGAAAAAAGAATAAAAATAAAACAAAAAATAACACATTGAATAAATTCCCCAACTGAAAGATATGTGCAGTCATGAGGAATAAAAAGTCAAAGGCACAACCATTAAATACCAACACACATACTGATACTACTTTAACAAAGTTGTTGTAGTTTTTTTTTTATTATTTAACAAAAACTACTATGTAAACAAAACGTAAAAAAATGGTACCTAAAGATAACTACCAACGACTGTTTGCAATTTTTGCACTTTTTATGAGAA